TCGTAGCGGCGCCCGCGTCCGCCGCGGCCAGGCCCCGCTTCTCGGCCTTGCTGCCATTGGAGAAGATCCCGTTCTGGTGCTTGTGGGTCTGCAGGGCCTCCTTGGGGTGGGCCTTCCTCACCCGGGGGGCCTCTTCCTCGCTCCTCGGGCCCCCGGGCCGGGCCACGAGCTTCTGGTTGCCTCCGATGAGCTTAATCCCGAACTGCTCCCGGGCCGGGCCGGCGGAGCAAGTGTAGATGCCGGCATCGGCGGGCTTGAGGCGGTGGATCTTTAAGTAGCCGAAAGGGGCCACGGTGACGTGGGCGGAGCTGATGAGGTGCTGGCCGTCCTTCTCCCAGGTGATGAGCGGCTTGCGGAAGCGCCTCGTGGGGCACCGCAGCACCACGGTGGTCTTGGGGAGCAGGTACGCGAACCCGCCCACCACGAAGTGCAGCTTCCTCTGCCTGCGGGTCTGGATGTATACCTTCCTGGCCGCCTCAATGTGCGGGCTGTGCTTTGTAGATGGCCTCCCGGGCCCTGGAAGGAAAGGGAACAGACAGACAGAAAAATGGAGAGCAGAGAGACACGAGAGTGAGATGCGGGGACAAGCCAGAAGGGAAAAAAGAGAGTGGGAAGGGAAGAGAAAAAGAAAGGAAGGGACAAAAGAGAGAAGGGGTGGTGAAGAAAGTGCTTCAGAGTTGCCTTATGTTTAACTGGAGGAACTGGCTACCAGCTGTGCATCATCAAGCTGCCGCCACAATAAAAACCCGAGAAGAAATGAGCTGCAGTGGGGCTCTCGCCCCGCTGGGTCTTTCTGTCCCTAGAGCAGTGGTTCTCAACCTTGGCTGCACATTAGAATCACCTGGGAATCTTTTTAAAATCCTGATTTCTGGGCCTCATCCTCCGGAAATTCTGTTTCTTTGTTACTAATGTTGTGGCCCCACCCCATAACAAAGAAACAATTTCCGGAGAATAAGGCCCAGAAATCAGGATTTTAAAAAGATTCCCAGGTGATTCTAATGTGCAGCCAAGGTTGAGAACCACTGCCCTAGAGGCTGGGATGCAGGGTTCTAGATGCAGGGGGTTCCAGGGGGAAGCAGTTCCTCTCATTAAAAGGACTTAGAAATGAGCATCATTAAAAAGAGGCAGAGGACAAAGGGAAGGGGAATGTCCCCTTCCCAAGTTTATCCTTTGCACCCCGCAGAGCACCAGAACCCTTGCGGCCCCGGGGGGAGGAGAGCTCAGAAGTGTTCCAACTCTAGGGATTAATATTAAAGAGAACAAATCTGTTCCGAGTAGTTTAAAACCCCAGAGAGGATAACATGAGCCTTCATTAGTAGTAGGCTGCCTCCAGCTTCCAGATTGCCTTCTGTCCGCGAGTGAACTTTGCTCTCCCTCTTGCAAACTGTTTTTCCAGGAGAGAAGAGAATCTCACCTGGTCACCAGTAATTAAAATACCTTTTCCATCTCCAGCTGAGCTCCCCAGCCTGCTGCCTTCCAGGGCCCAACAATGGGCTTAGGGAAGGTTACTGTGTGCTTCCACGTGGGTTTCATCTCCCCATCCCCAGAGCTCTGAGGTACTCACTTGCACAGATTGCCAGCATACAGGGCCTGATTGAGGAAGAGAACGGCAGGGGAGGGCACAGGGAGGAATTGACAATAGCCGAGACCCCGGTTTTCAGCACCTTCCTGCAAATGGCACTCCGCGTCTGGGTGCCCTCGCCGCAGCTCGTGGAACACTGATGGGAGAGAAAGGCCAAATGCGTGTAAATGTAGGGAACGATAGGCAAATGGGCTTTTGTATGAGTTCTCAAACTCACCAACACATGAGAAAAGTTATTTGAAATCTGCAATAGTCGAGAGAGAGAGAGAGCGAGAGAGAGAGAGAGAGAGGATATTACTCGACAACGTGTGAAGACATGTCCATATTGCAGCCACATAACATTTTCTACTGTAAGGTTTCCTGTAGACATTTCACCTGTTTTGGTATGTGGCCTGGGCTTTAGAGTTACAGAGTTAGAGTCCACTGTTCAAATCCATCTTAGTTTTTCACTACTTGGCAAGTGACTTAAACTGTCTGAGGCTATTGCCACTTCTTGTGCTTATTTTGCAAGGTTGGGCATTAAATGAGGTAATATATTTCAAATGTCATACACAGAACTGGCATTCAATGCTAATTCCTTTCTCCTTCTTCACAAATAAGTTAAAATATTTTAATGTCAAGCATCAGATAATTGTTATATATCTACATCATTTGAGGTAAGGTGCTAGATACTATAGAAAAAAGTTGTGCAAGATAGTTCCTAATGTCAAGGGGCTGTCATCAAATGAAGGAAAAAACACAAATACATTAATAAAATGAAATAATACTTTAGGGAAAGAAATCAAAAGCACATTGAGATACCACTTCATATTCATTAGAATGGCCATCATAAAAAGGACAGGTAATAATAAGTATTGGTGAGGATGTGGAAAAATTAGAGCCTTCATAGATTGCTAGTAGGAACATAAAATAGCATAGCCCTCTTGGAAAACAGTGTAATAGTTTTCTTTTAAAAAAATTTTAAATAGTTTCTTAAAAAGTTAAATATAAATTTACCATGAAACCCAGAAATTTTACTCTTAGGTATCTACCTAAGAGAAATGAAAACATACATCCATACAAAGACTTGTATGTTAATATTCATAACAACATATTCATAACAGACAACAAGGGGAACTCAAATGTCCATTAATTGGGAAATGGATAAACAAAATGTGGTATATCTATAAAATGGAATATTATGCTATCATAAACAGGAATTTAGTTCTATGTGCTACAACATGAATAAACCTTGAAAACATGCTAAATTAAAATTTATAGTATTCAAATTATACTTCAGTTAAGCTGTTTAAAGAGTCAAATAGTAATACAAATTTTAGTAAAAATACAAAACTAAAAGACAAATGAAGTATTATAAAATTAATTCTAACAATTGTTGAATGCTTATGGTACACTGGGGATTTCCTGACCTAGGTCTTGAACATGGGTGGATCTGGACAGGTGTAGAGAACCAGGGATAAGCATGGGAGACAGGGAAATAACCAGATCAAAGGTAGAACCGTTCAGTGCAGAAGTCCAAGGCAGGTTTGGGGGCAGAACTCAACCTCTTTTGAGCAGAAGGATCCTATCGAGAGCGTCAGGAGTTCAAGAGGCCAGACGTTGGAGACTTTTAATTTTTCAGACAGGAGGTTTGGAATTGGTCCATAAAGCAAAGAGGAGCCATTGAAGGGAGGAGTGAAATGATGAAAGAGGTGTTTTGAGAAGGTTAATCTGGCAACAGTGTCCGGGAGGGATGGGAGTAGGAGATGGATGGCAGGTAGGGCTATCAGTTAAGGAGGCTGCCACAGTAGTCCAGGCTTGAGATGATAAAGGCCTGAACTAGGGTCATGGCAGTGTGCCATGGTAACTTAAAAAATGACAGTAAAAGCCAAAATATATTATCTTTTCAAGTATTATATGCTAGCCCATTGAAATAAACTATTCCATGCAAAGTTCTATGATCTACACTACTCTGAGAGACATTTAAGATGCAAAAAATGGGGATGAGAGTCAAACCTATTGATTTTGTTCCCCGATGATTATAGATTCCAGATTCCACTCATCCCTTATTTTATTGTAAATGACAGCACCAAATCCAGGGATCAGGTAGAATAGAGGTAAGGAGCCTGGAAAATTTGAAAGCATGGTCATTTTAGTGCTGCTTAGTAGAAAAATAGACTGCACGTCAGACGATTAATTTATGATATTGGTCAAGTCTAATTCTTTCTCTAGGCTCAATTTCCACATTGCTAAAATACGGAAACTAAGCTAGAGCAGGGAGTTTCAAACTGTGTTCTATAACTATGTTAAGTAAGTGATTTAGGGGCTTCTCATATGAACTGGAGACCCAACCATTGGAAATCTGGGACCACTACCCACACTTCAACCAAAATAGCTCTGACTTGATCTGTTTTAGATTTTTGGCTTCATAGTAACATTTCAATTTAAAAAGAGTGCTGTGATTTTAATTTTTAAAAGAACAACTAGGCTATAGGTTCTTCTAAGTTCCCTCTAGCTTCAAAATATACTACTCTGACTTTAATTTCTTTTATATTTTTTTGAGGGGGGGGGACAACTTCCCTAAAAATATGATTTAAAAATATTTGCTAGCTAACTCTTTCAGGAGATGGAAGAGTTTCTTTTACACAAAAGAGGTAAGGCCTTTTGAGGGTCTTATTCTCAGAGAAGAATCTGAGAGTAATTTTATTTAAGGTGTCTAAACATTTGGCTTAATTCTGTCTCTGAGGGATTCTGTGAAGTAACCAGGAGAGTGAGGCAGATAGTGGAGGATAAAGACACTCATAGATCATCCAGGTCTTCCTTTCTCCAAGGGGCCTGTGGGGTGTATGTGTAGAATGCAGGTCTCATCTCAGCCATGGGGCCCAGAGAAGGGCTGTTGGGATGACAGGGCCAACTGGAGCCTCTGTGAACACCTCCAGGGGCACTTTTGTATGGCACCAGTGTGAGTTTCATCTCCTTGAGTCGGTGATCACTTCCCACCATTCTCAGCCCCTCCCCAATGTTTGGAATTTCGATTCACCAACCCAGATAACTCAGAATCTAATAACATCCCTTCGATAATCACAAATGATTTCTAGTTCCCACAATGCAACTTCCTCCTCCTAGGAAGACTGACAAGGGCTGGGGAGGTCTATGCCATGACCCCTGTTCTAGCCAGTCAAGGTGAGTCCTTTCTTTTATTACCTCTCTTCCTGACAATGGGCAGGGATGGGAGAGAATCATAGCAATAACTATGGTTAACTTTTACTAGGCACAAAACACTTTATATGCATCATTTAGTTTAAGCCTCCTGATAATCACAAAAGTGGACACTATGATTATCTTCAATATTTAGATAAGTGAACTAAGGCCAAGAACGGTTAAGTAGCCCAAGGATATTAGAGCCTTCATACATTGCTGGTGGGAATGTAAAATACAGCCAGTATGTAGTAGGGGCAGCATTAGAACCTAAGTTTGCCTCAACTCTTCACCACACATGACACTGTTGTAAAGGTCTGCTCTACTTAGTGGTTCCCATGGGACCTCAATTCAGCAGTCTTCTTTTCTGAGCGCCTGATCACAAGGGTTCCTCCTTCAAATCTGCAGGCCAAAAAGGACATGTTCTGAATTCTGTGTCCCATATGCTCAGGGACTACAAAGTCCAGGAACACGGGAGAACAATTATAATCACACAGTCAGCATTCCATCCATGGAGGTAGGAGAGCAATACCTTTTGCAGTACACCCTGAGAGGAGGTCTTCATCTGCAGCCACGTACTTGGCAAATGCATCAGGGCTCTTTCCTGCCCTGCTATATTTATTATGACTTTTTTCATATATAATACCATACCCCAAATCATCGTTCCATGGGAAAATTTTCACTACCATATTCATGTACACACACACACGAATACACACATTCTCATTCTACACACTTTTTTCCTTTATCCTGTTTCTAAAACATGAAATTTTATTGTTCTAAGACATTTGGGGTAAGAAACCACCAGAAGGCAATTTTACTGCTAAATTATAAAACCTATGATAATGTAGGCTAACTCTCATTATCAGTGTCCTTAGCAGGCCTCACGTGATGGAACTCTATATGGCAGTGGTTCTCAACCTTCTGGCCCTTTAAATACAGTTCCTCATGTTGTGACCCAACCATAAAATTATTTTCATTGCTACTTCATAACTGTAATGTTGCTACTGTTATGAATCGTAATGTAAATATCTGATATGCAGGATGGTCTTAGGCGACCCCTGTGAAAGGGTCGTTTGACCGCCAAAGGGGTCGCGACCCACAGGTTGAGAACCGCTGCTATATGGGTTGATAAAATGTGGGATGAGAATTCTAAGAACCTATGTTGATAGAGCTGGCATCTTAATTTTCAGAGGCAGCTTCCCCCGCGGTGGAGGCAAGTGCCCTGTGATGTATTTCAGCCAGCAGCAGCTCCACCCTGTGACGTGTATATCAAGCAAAGAAGACAAAGGAGTCAGCAAAGCCAATTCAAATGCTGCCCTATGCAAAAAAAAAAAAAAAAAAGTGGAGAGGGCCTTGAATCTGGTTTTGACACTTCACTTCAGGCCTAGTGATTCTGTTCTTGGCTAAATTTGCTTGAGGGGCAACAATTTGGGGGAAAAGGGGCTTCTCTATGGAAGACACACAGGCCTGTCGTAGGCAATTGAGAAAGATGTGGGGGCTGATAACAATCAGTTGAAGCTGGGTTTAAATGAATGAATTGATGCTAGTGTTAGAATAGGAATTATTTAGACAAATAGATTAGTTGGGGACATATCCCTAACTTTTGAGGCAAGTCAGGAATGGTGAAGGCTGTTGCAATCATCTCCCTAAAAGCAAGAGGGGAAATCAAGTTATCTTGCTGGGAAGTTGTTGAAGTTTTGGAGCCAGGAAACTGACAGGAAAGAGGCAAGATTTCCTTGGCCTTCTTTTCCTACTAAGTCATGTTCCTGATTGTCTAGTAACGTGGAAGAGAAGAACTTGAGAGGCTTTGCCCTTCCTAAGTAGAGACTAAAAACATCCTGGAGTAGGAGGTGCAGGGAGGTCAGGAAGACACGTTTGGAGATAGAGGGAGAAGCAGCCTATGTTCTGAGAAGAATCCTGGGCCCGAATAGCTTGAGTGAGGCCTGGTTTTGTTCCATGAGGAACTTGTTTATAATTGCATGCTTCACATTGCTGAATAAGGGCTGGCTGCTTAACTCACATCCCTGTAGACTAGTTAAAAGTTAGTCACACAGGATGGTGTAAGTGGTTACAATAATACGGCTCCATAATGTTAGGAGGATTATTTTGCTCTGTTCTCGCCTTCTATATGTATCTACTTGGGGTGCCTTCTTTTCCTCCTTATTTATGCCTCTTTCATCATCTCCTTCTACCACACGTACCTCTGACCAGTCAGAGAGGAGCCACTCGCTGGGACAGTCCTCTTTCTTGCAGGCTTGCTGGGAGGCCAGTTTTGAGGCTGAACAGAAGGTCTCAGGAAGCTCCAGGAAGCTGCCATCGGCCATGCGCTGCTTGCAAAGCACCTCACGCCTCTGGACGCCCCCTCCGCAGGTCCTGGAGCACTGGGCAGGGAAGGAAAGTCAACCCAACATAAGGAAGTGGCGTGTTTGTGTGCCCAGTTTGGCCTTGGCCTTGGCCGAGTAAAGAGCGAAAAAAGAAAAAAAAACAGAAAAAGAAGAAAAACCAGAAACCAGCCCAAGTGCCCAGTTTGGCCTTGGCCTTGGCCGGGTAAAGAGCGAAAAAAGAAAAAACAGAAAAAGAAGAAAAACCAGAAACCAGCCCAAAGGATTTCGCTTCCTCTTCGTGAAATACATTTTGGAGCAAGAGCTACACCCTCCACTCTTAATCTCAAGTATTTAACTAGAGCGCCAAGGAATTTGAAGAGCATTTAAATCTTAGAAAGTTGCATTTAAAGGATGATTTGCAGCCACCCAAGACAACTGGTTTAAAAGGTTAGTATAATGGAGTGTTAAGCATATTTACGATCCAGTGAAAATAATCTGTGCTGCTTCCTGAAAGAATAAGAGCTCCGCCTGCCATCGGTGTAAATCTGGAGGAACTAATCTGCAGAGAAGGCAGCCCTTTCTGAGTGTGCGCACCCACGCTACCGCATCGGAGGGGCGTTAAACACGAGGCCTGGTTTGCTGAACTCCCCAGGAACACTTTTCTTGTTGGAGTTGTGATTTCTTAGGGCAGTGGGAGCAAGAGCCACTGATATTTGGGATACAAGAAAAACAGCCTTATTTCAGTGGTTTTCAGCAGGATCCCAAACACACTGTCTACATGTAACTTCATAGTTATAATCCACTTGCATGAGGAGGGAGAGAGGACCCCAGCGGCATAGTGTTGGCTGTTATTGCAAGTATTTGCCTTCCCTTGCAATAGCAAAGGGGCCCCCAATTTGTAGCTGGACACATGACTTTTCAGCCTACAGAATAGATGTGGCCACCTCCCCTGAAGGTAGAAATGGTCATGTGACGAGGTAGGTGCTGCCCCTGCTCTGGCAGTGGCCACTTAGAACTTGGGGTCTGTGCTCAGTGCATTGAATTCAGAACTGCAAGGGACATTTGTGTCCCCAGATGAAGGTAGGGTGTGTGGTGAGACATGTTCTTGAGTATAATTAGCAGGCTCAATGGTCACAACCTTAGATGCTTTTTAAAATTGCCTGGGTTTTTTGTTTGTTTGTTTTTTATAAAGTACTGAGGCCTTACATTTAATCAGAACCTTAATCATTAAAGCAGAAACTCTGGGAGATGGGTCCCAGATATCAGTTTTTTAAATCAAACAAAAAAATAATTCTCCCTGGTAATTCTGCAACCAGGGCTGAGAATCATCTCTCGAAGAATGCCCCTCTGCCATTTCTAATGGGAATAAGGTAAACATAGAGAGGACATCAGGGGACCCAGAGAGGCCTCGGTTAGAACCAGTGGTTGTTTGGATCACACTGGAGCAGAAGTGCCCTTTGTTGGTAGTTGTGAATGGCTTGAGGTCACAGAGCTACTGAATAATGAAGTTAGAAAAACTATGAACTTAGTCTTGTTAGGTTTTTATTAAAAAAAGTTTTTATTATATTTTTTGCTGTGTTTCTTTATTTTTCAATTTTATTTTCTTTATTTTTAAATTTATCTCTATTGTTGAAAGTATTATATATGCCCCCTTTTTCTCCTCCATTGAGTCCTTCTATTCTATTCCTGCCCCTCCATCACCCAGCACCTTCACAGTACTATTGTCTGTGAACATGGGTTATGCATATATGCATATAAATTCTTTGGTTGATCTCCTTGCCCCCCTCCCTCTGAGATTTATCAGTGTTTTCCATGCTTCCATGTCTCTGGATCTATTTTGTTCATCAGTTTATTTTGTTCATTAGATTCCACATGTAAGTGAGATCATGTGATACTTGTCTTTCTCTGACTGGCTTATTTTTCTCAGCATAATACTGGGCATGTGCCTTGAATGGGAATCGTACCGGCAACCTATTGGTGCATGGGACTATGCTCAACCAACTGAGCAACACATAAGAGATCTTTCTTTTTCACAGCTGCATAGAATGCCATTGTATAAATGTACCACATCTTTTTTATCCACTCATCTATTGATGGGCACTTGGGCTGTTTCTAAATCTTAGCTATTGTACATAGCGCTGCTATGAACATAGGGGTGCATATATTCTTTTTGATATGTTTTTATTAATTTTAGAGAGAGAGGAAGGAAGAGGGAAAGAGGAAGAAACATTCATGAGAGAAACACTGATTGGCTGCCTCCTGCACACCCCCTACTAGGGATCGAGCTGGCAACCTGGGCATGTGCCCTGAATGGGAATTGTACTGGCAAACTATTGGTGCATGGGACTATCTATGCTCAACCAACTGAGCAACACTGGCCAGGTCTTGTTAGACCTTTTAACCCTAGAGCCTTTCAGAGCATCTAATATAGTGGTGAACAACCTTCATTTGCATTTCAAAAATTTAAAATTTTTGAAATGAGAAAAACCTATTGAGTTCCGTAGGAAAAAAAAGTACTTTCTTATGGCTGAATTCAACTACTTAGTGAATAAAAGAAGGCTAAGGATAAAGGTGAAACCACTCAATGAGGTAAGTCTTGTCCCCACTTTACAGATGAAGAAGCTGAGGCTAAACAGGTGAAGTGACTCAACTAAGGCCCCATGCTGAGCATGTTCTCTGGGCTGGGGTGGTGGACTCAACTGAAGAATGAGCCCACACTTGGTTTCTCTTTCTTGTGGTTGTGGGAACTGCTCTCTGTTTGCGATAGAGGGTACTCTGATTGTTGCTTCATGCTGAGGGCCCAGGCCTTGCAAACCCCAAGCCTGCTAAGGGCCTGGTCTTCCCCTCACCCCCACCGGAAGGGCAGTGCTTTGAAAGTCAATCCTCAGCCTCTACTCTGTGACTGTTCCTAACCAGCAGGAACCAGCCTGTGATCCAGCTTGGGGACCAACATTCTAAAACAGCTCATCTGCACTATGGTAGGCCTGGAAATGTTTTCTGTCTAGACACTTTGATTTCTGAGCTGAAAGGCTACACTGAACATAGCTTCTAGGCTATGCCACTGGCTGGCTGGTGGGGTAGGCTACGTATGGTGGTCTACAGCCAACTGTTACTCATCACAGATTAAACAGTTTCTTCCAAGACTTGCTTAGCATGTCATTTAGTCTTAAGGAAAAATCTATGGCTTTGAAGCTAATGATTCAAGCTGAGAGTGGCCCAGGCCTTTGGCTTCTCTGGCTCATTTTGGTGATTCTCTGGCCTTTTTATTTATCAGAGAAGCAAACTTTTTAGTTCTTGTTTAGTAGTAATTCAATAAACTCTTGAAGGATTTTACTTCTTGAATGCATTTGTACCCACACTGTACTGCAAAGTGCTTTTCGTGAATATAAATTCTCAATAATATTTGTGGATTAAAATGGAAGCTGTTGGTTGGGGGAAAATTTGTTTTTTTTTTTGTTGGGAGAAGTTTAAATTAGCACCTAAGAATTCCATTTATTCAGAATAAACATTCTTGTTACCGTGGATAACTAAGGTTTTAAAGTCTTTTGCATGACTTCTTACGTTCAGCCTTTTCCTATTTCTGTCAAATTATCACTTCTAACCAACCAGTTATTCTATCATCAGATTCATTATAACCTTCATTGTTCAGGCTGTCTTCAGAACTCTTTTATGACTAGACAACAAATCATGTGCTTTATTGATTCCTGAGGGTTTGCCAGACTTAGGGACTGTGTTCTCCACAATGCTTTCCATTCTGTGAATTATTAAATTTCTTTCATAAACTTCATGTAATTTTGTTCAAGTCATAATTGTCTGAAAAAAAGTTTATACTGATGAGTTGAAAATTTAAATCTTAAGCTCTGATCTCTCCCCTATTCTTACTCAGTATGTCCGCTGAAATGCAAATAGGTATCTGGACCTAAACATGTCTAAAATGGAACTTATGATTCTGCCTCTCCAATATCACCCCAAATCTGCTCTCTTCTCAGTCTTCTTCACTCATTTAATGGTGCCATAGCCAAGACACAACTTAGAAAAAGTTCTTGATTTTTCTTTTTTCTCACCACCTCTATCCTGACACCCAATCTATGAGCAAATGCTTTCAGATTTGCCTCTAAAATAAGGAAAACTAACCTCCACAATAAATAATAAGTTGGGATACCACCATCTCTTGCCTAGCCCACTACTAAGCTTCCTAACTGGTTTTCCAGTTTCTAGTTTTCTCAGTTAGCTCTTAGCAGGTTATAGATAGCATACTCAATTGAAGCTCCTCTCTCTCTTTGATGGTCTCTGAAAACCCCATTGACTGAACACAACTAGAAGCCAGAGAGTAGAGTCTATCTAGGTCAGCCTCCTGGACACAGGTGCAGAAGGTAGAGAGTGGATCTAGAGGAGCAATGGAAGATATCGAGCATTTCACTTTATTCTCCTGCAGTCTATTCTCCACAAGAATGATGTTTTCAAAGCATAAATCAGCTCACATAATTCCCCTGCCTAAAAACCTCCAATGGCTTCCCCTGGTGATTAGAATAAAATTTCAACTCCTCTAACCCGGCCCTGCAAAGCCCTACATGTTCTGGTCCCTGCCCTGATGAAACTTTGAGACTGTCTAACTCAAATCCTTCCAACTTCATTCATTCATTCCACACAAAGTTATTAAATACCAATGATGGACCAAGCCTGGTTCTAGGTTTTAGCAGGTAATAAGAAGCCCGGCATAACCTCTCTCCAGTTTCATCTCATACAACTCTCCTTCTTCCTTGCATGTTCCAGCCACAGTGTTTTGATTTTTGCTGTTGCTCCTCCAATGCCAAGCTTGTTTCTATCACAGGGCCTCCACGCTTGATTTTTTCTCTACTTGAACTAATCTTCTCTTGCATCTCCATGTGGCTGAGAATTTCTAATCATTCAGGTTCAATTCCATTCTCACCTGCTTAGAGAGGCCATCCCTAACCTCGTAAGCTAGAGCAGCCAAAGCAGTCTCTATCCTATAAACCTTATTTTACTTTAAAAAATGTTTATTGATTTCAGAGAGGGAGAGGGAGAAGGAGAGGGAG